GGCTGAGCTTGAAAGCACGCGGCTTTGAACCTTGAAGTATCAGATCAGTACATTTGCCATGGACAAATCGCAGGGGCCGCTGCCCGCCACGCACCTGAGAAGTTGAGAGCACCATTTCAATGTGGCTTCAAAAACAGGGTAACCCCACCCCCCCAACTCCCAGTTTGCAAAGAAGAAAGAAAGGGGACAACTACCTTCGGTCCCGCGGGTTCATTTTTAGCCACAACCATTTGAGACATCGCTTCAGCCTGCCTCGGCTAGTGAACAGGCGCACAGCTCCATGCCGTACCTGCGATTTATAACAAACCGACAGCTCCAGGTTGGCGAGTCATGAGTCTGGCACCAGCGCAGCAGCATGAAGGACCATCAGCCCAAAGTCGCGTTGTGGGCAGATACAGCAAGTTGCTTGATTTCTCGTGATTTATCTTTATAGTTTGCACGGAAGGTCCCCTTTGAGAATTGCTCCAAGTAAGTGACAACATATTGGTTCAAATGAAGAGCACGGTGAGGTCTCTGTGAATGGAAAGCGGGATCACGCAAAGATTGAGAAGCTTCCTACATTTTCATTGCAAGTCTTGCAGGCGCTCCAGTGACAAAAACCTGCGAAAAGCGGGCCATATTGTCTGTGCGCATGCCTCATGATTGCTTGCTTCGTGGGAGTGTCAAGCTTAGCGCGCTGAGCTTTCTCGCGTATCGTGTACAAGTGTATAGAATAGACACCACTCAAAGAGTGGCCCAGCCTACCTGCATTGGCTAGTGCAGAGCGCATCGAGATGCCGACGCACTCCTAGCACAGTACACCACACAATCACAAGCGAGCAAGTTCGCCTGCTCTTCTGCTAGACAATCCTCTAGCAGGGGTTGTGAGACATGTAGGGCGCAAAAAAAGAGTACACGCGAAAGCACGAGCAAGTGACGCTTGTCAACGTGCTGTGAAACGTCGCCGCAAGACGAGCTTGACCTGAAACCTGCGCTATGAGGAGCGCTCCTCAGCGCAGTTACGGGTCGCTGGAAAACTGACAGCTGAATTAGCTGGGCAATGACCATTGCGAGTGCGAACTTGTGAGTCGCATCAAGTAGTCTTTTTCAGAGCCTCTTCTCGTGCCTGCGCAAGGCCCATGAGAGGTCCAAAGACAAGACAGGCACTGGCACGCACTGGCTCGCCATCCTAGGCTCACGGCAGGGGTAAAGAGGACTCCGACAAACTGCCAAAGCAGTGTGATGTTGAAGGCAAGGTTGACCTACGTGAACTCATCTCACTCCAATGTGGCAACACGTGCACCAGAGCCCGACCCACATAGTACGCTGCCCAGCACACCTACTTCCAAATGGTGCCTCCTGCAAGCGTCCAGGGACTGCAGATCACGGTTTGCAACTGTCCAGGGCGTCTGATTTCCTGTCAAGAAATCCTTTTTTAGAGGGAAACCTGAAAAGGATCACCAATTTTAGGGAACTCTGCCATATTGACAAGCCGACGCAGAATGTCCCGAAAGCACATCCTTTGAAACGAGCGGATCTGAAGCCAGATCAGAAGCCAGCCGTTCGACTTCCGCCACGTTTCAAAACAAGAAAGGAATTGCATCAGTATGCCTTTATGTATAATATATAAATATGTGCATAGAACCAATAAACCTTAGCGCAAGATTCGCTTCGGCGTGCAAAGGCTACATGGAAGTGAGAGCAACACGCGGGGTTACTTGGCGAAGCTAAATGTCGCTTGTCGTGGAGTTTTTGCGCATCAACCCGGCCAATCCACGCGAAGCATTCATCGCCCATGTTGAAAAGGTGCATGTTCGTGGGCTTTTTGTCCATCGACCCACTCGATCCGCGCAGAGGGCAGGCGAAGTTGACAAAGTGCAAGCTGCATTTTGTTCGGGATTGTTGCACAGGTGCGGGTCAAAACTAGGCACCCAAAATGGAACCCTGGTACATGGAAACAAGGGCAAACACCAACGTTCTATCGGTGATTTACTTTGATCCAAGCCCACAGCGACCCACCCGGTCCACGCAGAAGGGCTCATCGGCGGTTGAAATGTGCGTTTCATTCTGCTGCGTGCCGACCCAGGGCTTATCGGGGAAGTTCAAAAGTTGCAGATGTTGTGCTTTTCGACCCACCCCATCCACGCAAAGCGTTCATCCCGTTGACCGCCGCTGGTCCCCCCGGCTATACAAGAACGCAACTGCGCAGGATCCGCTGTGCTGGCTGCACAAGCAAAGCTCCCCAAGCAGGGCCGAGCTGCCCCTTGTCGAAAGAACCCTTCGCGGTGATATCGGACAAAGACTTAGCTTGTCAGAAGTTGAAATCCCTTGCCGCTCCCACATGTACTTCATGGCCACCGGAGCCATGGCCACACTGGTCAGGAATTGCAGGATCTGCAAGCGCGTCACCCACTTCTTCCATGGCCTAGCCGGGAAAAGTGCTCACTGAAAATCGTCTTTTCTGTACCAAAACAATCCATTCGGCCATCATCATTCCGCTAACACAGCTCGCTTATCGCAGACACGGCCCAACAAAATCTCTCACAATGCGTCCCACAGGCATAACTGTTCATCCCGATTCTGAGAGCCACACGTGGGGATCTTCAACACCTACTCGCTTGCAAGACAAGTCACTTGAGCGCCCAAGACCCACGGACGTTTGGTTCTACATGGTTGCAAGGATTTTCCAGGCCTTACTTCAACCCCAAGTAAGCCAGGTAGAAGCACCAACAGATTTGGCCAATGAGGGGCTCTGGGTGCTCATGTGAGACCAGCCTTCAGGGCATAGTAGGCGTACATCACCACGTGAACAAAGGTGTTCCAAAGGAGTCCTCCGTAGTGACTGGTGCGCATGGATGCCTAGGGTGAAGCCATCCTACGTGTTGGAGGTTCATCCGGTATTCGAGCCAGTTCCAGACCATCACCTGGCAATATGACAGCGATGATAGCTATCAAGTGTTGCAACGCCCGATGGGGAGTTGTCAAAACCCGCCGCGTTCACCGGAACCAGCGCGTGGTGGTAGACATGCAAACCAAAGTGCGGCGGCCTGCAAGTGCCACTGGCACCTTTGTTCCAGTTGAACATGACTGCTGCTCATGATGTGCAAGCTGCTACTTGGACTTACGTCTTTGCACAAACTCAATTCGGCTTCCGTCGAGATGCCCGGCCTGGATGCTCGCAGAATTGCGAGCAATGTGTCTACCAGCTCGTAGTACTTGCTAATCTGGCAGGGCGACAGATTGAAACTTGCAGCGATCTCCAACAGCGCTGTCTGTACTTAATTCTGGCAAAACCTCTTGTAGGGTTGCATGTGATAGTGCATCAAAGCCAAATGGCTAATTGCCCGTAAGAGGTTTTGCCCACTGATTCGCATCAACTTTGTGTAAGATGAGCGCGTAGAACGCATAGGACCAGAAGTAAAGCGAGCCTCGTCTTGTCAAGTCCCCGGTATTTATTGAATCGCTCAACTTCAGTCTCTAAGCCCGTCACCGTGGGCCGGAGTGGCCGGATTCTCACAAAACCTCGAGCTCAGTGTGAGGCAACGGATTCTGCCTAACTTTTTTGGGGCGGTACATCCACTCTGCGTCATTGTCGTTCTGGATTCTTCGAATCATCTCAAAGGCACAGCCCAAGCACATGACCAAGGATAGGCCGCCTCAGACCAAACCCCGCCCATAGCCCACAGGCCCACACAAAAACATCCAGGTACGAGACTCAACACAAAGTTGTGAGCCACCATCACCTTGTCCAGTTTGTAGCCACCAGGCGGCACCTTCAAAGGTTGTAGCTTCTTGCAGCTTCTGCTAAGCCCGAGCTTTCTCCTTCTTTACCAAGGCAAAAATTGAGCTCCGAACAAAGCGCGGAAGAATGAAGACCATCAGCAAGTAAAGCACACCTGCAAATAGAAAACAAGCAATTGCTAGATTGTTGCCGGCAATTGGATGTCTCCGCATACATATGATATGAATATACCTGTCAATATACATATAAGCATGTAAAGAGAGAGAGAGAGAGAGAGATCTATAGATAGAAAGATTAGACAGATTACATTACATTTATTGTATCAGAATAAGATAAGAGAAGAAAGACACAACAAGATGATATGATAATGTACGTGTGAATGTGCATGTATTATATATACTGTACATTGTACGTTGTCGTGGCTGCTAAAGTGAACGCAGGGGTAGAGTTGCTCTTTTCTGTGTGTTTGTGTGTGAGGATCCAGCTGGACACCTCTGGAAAGTTCCTCTCATAGCTTTGACAATGTGCTCCCCTGCAGATTAGCATGGAGCCCAAAAAGGGGTCCCCGAAATGCAGATTTTGAGCCTAAAATTGGTGGTCGGTTGGGTTCCATATTAGCCTGCTACCCCTTGAGCCTTCAAGAGTTCAAGAGTTCAAGAGGTCAGAGCCTTCGCTCAAGACTCGGATAGGAACGCAGCGCTCGCCTGTGATGACAGGCACGGTCCGCGACGACAGCGGAGCATCTTTCCAGTCAAAGTCGAAGTACATCACCCAAAGTGCGCGGAGCAGAATGGTCTGTAGCTTTGAACCGTGGCCTTTGAGCCGGCCGTAGCTGCGGGAAGGGGACTGTAATAGCAACATACTACATCGCAAGTCACGGTGCAATGCATAACAAGCCCAAGGCACTTTTCCTGTTCAACCAAGTCAGCGAGAGAGAGAGACAGGTCTTTGGAAAAGCGCCCCTCATTCGTCACTTTCGTGGTGATCTGGTTGCTTTGCCAGTCTCACGAGATATTCGCACCGATGTGAAGAGTTGCTGCAAGCTCCTCAGCGTGACATGGAACACAAAGTCACTCAGACTTGATCAACAGCGCGATTCAGCCGGTGATGCCTCTCCTCTTACACGATTTGCTTACCCAATGCCCAATGACGCTCCTCTGATGTGTTGTTCAGTCAGATTCCCATACGAATGTAGCACATCATGCTGAGCTGGCTGTAGCAAGATTGTCCAAGGTAAACCCTACTGCCCCGCCCACCTAAAACCTTTGCCGCAATCGCCTGCAGCTTGTGGATGCCCTGCTCAAAGCGCTCCCGGGACGGGGCATCCAATCCCGCGGTCAGCGTGGCAATGGCGGCCGGCGGCAGAGTGATGAGCGACAGCCCCTGCCGGGCATCGAAGCAACGCCTTGCTCCCAAAGGCGGTACTGAATTTGGATTGCCGGCTGGCCTGCAAGCCAGATTTGGACGCCTCTGGTGGTGAACCGCGTGGCGGCACCTTTTCAAGCAATGGAAAAAGCAAAGGAAAAGTGTTCCTGACGGGTAGCCACAGCACACGCAAAAGGGATCAACTCCTTGTGACGGCCTGGAACACTGCTCCGCGATCTTCGCAAAGCAAAGCCCCACGTGCCTCACGGCACGCGTCCTGCAGCTTCCGTCGCAGTGCGCGATGTGCGCCCATGTCACAAATGCAGCCGCCTCTGCCGATGGAGTGGCCAGCTCTGGCTTCGGGTTTATCCTGGTCCACTACCAAAGGCTCCAGCTCAGCTGACAAACACAGGAGGCGCGCCGGCTTTGTGCACTCTTCGCACCTGCAATGTGTATGAGCTCTCATCTGTCGCTGGAGTCATCGTGAACGTAAGGTGCTGACCATCTTCCACTATCCTTGACTTGCTGAACGTCTCCGAGCTCGGGCTCGTCGCAGGCTCCGAGCTTCTCGGCACTGGTCGGGCTCCGCCCGGCTCTGGCTCTGCCTCGGCCTCTTCGGCGCTGCTCGGTTCTTGGGCCCCTTGGGCCCCTTGGGCCCCTTGGGCCCCTTGGCCATCAGCCTCGACCGCAGCCACAGCCCGAGCACCTTTGGCTTGGGTCTTCTCGGCTGGCTCTGGCACGCCTGGCACCGGCACACATACGACATTCAATGGATGAGGAAAGTCCGACCTCTGCCTTGACTTGGTAGTTGTCGCGAACGCCGCGTGAATCTGAATGTAATCATTTGCCTGCAGCTGCACAAGGAAACTGATATCAGCCAGCGGATCAGCTGGGCTGGTGGCTGTTTGCATATTTCTGCAAAGCGAGATGGATCACCGTCTCCGTTCACAGAGTCCACCTCTACAAACAACCGTGCTCAATTTGTGCATCTGCAAAGCCGGCTAGCATTGACAAAGCAACCAGCCTCGTCTCCTGGAACAATTCGTTCTGAGCCAATCGCCGCCTGTGATGGAGAGGTTGCTTGACCATGACTGGAGCACTAGTGGGCCTACTAGAGTTGAATCACTTGATTCGTGGGGATCTAGTCCTAAACTCCCTGTCCGCTTCGCAAGTGCCCAGTCGCTGGTTTCAAAAGAGTACTTGAACCAGTGGATGTGCCACGAGCTCAAATGCGAAGTGCAGACCGCTTGAACTCGACTTGCCATCAGCTGAAGTATGCGGTTCCCGTAGAGAGCATGCGAGTCCCCTGATGTTTGTCGGATATCCAGTTGGTCCCCCATATCCCTCCCAACTGGGAGTGTAGACTTATAGACATGTTGACGAACCTCATGTACTGGCATACTCCTGCCAAGAGGTTACACAATGGGGACAATGAGATATGCCCAAGACATTGACTCCTTACCAGGCTGACAGCCATTCATGATGAGTCAAAGTTGCCCGCACGGGAAAAAAATGGGGACTCCAGGTGTGCTCAACATCATTCAAACAAAGTTACAAAAGCTCAAATTAAATGCAACGTCGGGTGTGATGCAATGCTAAACATCAATGTGAGCATGTTGCTCCTTTGATGATTCGAGGGACTGCAACCAAATTGAATAGGACAACTCCGCCATGGCCTGCTTTGACGAAAACACGGCAACCCGCGGGGCAATTGCCCATGGTGTTGTGCCAGCACCCAAAAAAATGTTTAAATATATTGACCGCAGCCAAACTCTTGTCGAGGCAAAGCAGGCGCAGAACAACACGAATCATCCATTTCGTGCCAAGACGAAGCTTGGCTGCTGTTTGATGCACTGTTGCACACGCTCAACGCAGGAAAGACGTCACCACAGGCCAAGAGTGCTTGCCGTTGCAACCGCATCAGAACTCGGGGCTGTAACGCCCTTTCGCGTTGATGTGCTTGCCAAAGATCGCCCGCGGCGCCTGGTTGTGTCGATCTGCTAAGCTGCCAGGCACCACCTCGGAGACGACCGTCCGGGTGGGATCCCGCGCAGACCTGAGTTCACAGCAGTCAATCGTCAATCTGATCGCCTTTTTGGTGAACCCAGTGTAACCCAAGCACGGTCGAAATTAGTTGCTTGCGGCCGTTTCGCTACTTAGTTTGAGAGTCCCCTATCGTTTTCCAGCGTTTCCATCCTCTTCCAGGGGTATCGTGTTTTTGAGAGTCCCCATATCGTTTGTCATGGTTTTGTGCATTTTCACAATATCAATGAAACACCGAATACTAAAGTCAACAGAAGTAATTTTGACTGTACTTCAAATGCGAATTGGTGAGTGTGCCCAACGCCATTCCCTTTGCTAAGTACGTAGATGATGGTACATATTATCCGTTGCTCACATCGTCACGCCACATGGAGCCGACTTGGAGCCGGGCGGAACCAGGCGCAGGCCGAGGCGTTCTGAAGCCAAGGCTCTCCGTAGGGTCACCTGCATGGTCGAAACCTGTGGGGAGTCCAGGGTTCCTATCTGGCCTTCAAACATTCAAAGGCATCCCTGGCATTCCTGGCATCCCTGGCATCCCTCTAGCCTCCCGCGCCTCGAAATGGGTCCTCTGGGGCTCCACCGGCGACGCCTGGGTCTCTTCGACACAACTGGAATCTGTGAGCATCTCCCACCTCGGGCTCCGGGGCTGGCCCAGCGTGCCAGCGCAGGACACTAAGCCTTCGCGCAAGCGGGAGCGGCCAAGGTGGCCAGGTGGCCGCCGCAAAACGAAAATGAATGCCGAGGTCACCGGACTTTCTGGCTGTCGCGCAACCGCTGAAGCATCCGCTTGGGCGAGATCTGTCCGGAGGAATTCCAAATGGCTTGCCGGAGTCAGAATTCGGCACCTCTGGCTCGCAAGCCAACAGGAGGTCACCGGCTTGCAGACTCCACCTTTGCACCAGGTCACTTAGAATCCCAAAGCCCTGCCCACTTCTGAGGCCAGTCGCTGGGGGCCTTCACTCTCATTCCACCGGTGGATCGCCCCAGCAACCTGAGAGAAGGAAGCCCTTCTGGTAAAACATTTCGGAATACATCAAGATACTCGCCACTCGTTGGATCCTCAGCACTCCGGCGCTTCTTGGCCTCAGCATTCGCTTTCCCGGAGACAAAAACGGAACCGCGAAACGCTTTCCGGCGCCCAGGGCGCCCGGCCCCGAGACCGTTGTGACCGTCTCTTCCTTGAGTTCCAGGCCCCAACCTGCGGGACGTGCGCAGTCCCCTCACCCCCCTCACAAAATCAGGCACCTTCAGCCTGGTCTCTGCCAACCTCGACCTCCCAAACCTCCAGGCCGGAGCTCGCAAAGTCATGCTGTCACATAATCTTCGTCCAAGAGACTCCTGGAGCTGCCCTCGCGGCTGGGCGAGCAAAGCGAAGCTCCTTGCAGAAATCCGCGACGACCGCCAGCTGTCTGATTGCGTCGGCATGTCGCACTGAGGCCCGTGCCAGTTCAGTGCCAGTGAGCTTCTCTATCTCAGATCCACTCACGCAACAAGTCTCAACTCTCAGAGGTGCGCACCATCCGCCGCGGATGTGTCTCGCCGTTGACCGCCACCAGCCAATCGCCACTCTCAACTCGCTCGCATTCCGGACTGCCAGGCGCAAAATGCGCAGAATGCACAAAATGGACAATGTTCACCAAATTCCCCGAAAGCGCTCAACGGTCCTTGCCTGCAGTTGTACTGCGCGATGACCCCGTCTTCAGCAACCTGTAGCACCAGCAGCTCATTGCCTGGAAACTGGACCACGCCGCACGGAGACATGCCCTGGGGCCTGGGGCCGAAGGCGCTGTGCCTAAGACCCACGCTGTGTTTGAATTGCAGGCCCAGGCGCCTAAGTTCTCATCGGAATTCGTGAATTCGTGTCTGTCTCTCGGGTCCGGCCCAGACTCGGTGCTGACTTTCACTATGAACCTTGGTACTCTGAATCCCCCACAAGCTCGCAGAAAGCGAAACCTAGCTGAGGCCACAGCTCGCAGCGCAGCTTTCGCAGACTGTTTCTGAGCTGCTCCTGCGGTCAATTCCCATGCATTGCGGCTTCTGATTTCAAAAATGCGGGATATGCAACAAAAACAGGAAGGCTAGACGTCGCCCGAATTGCGGGATGACTCGAAAGCTTCGGGCCATCTTGGGTGTCATGCTCCTCAAAGGGCTTTGGCGAGAGGAACGCCGGCACCTCCGCCAAATACCAATGGTTCAGCTGGCTTCACGCTCGCCAGCTGAGGATGGGGCCAAGGCGCCGAAATTGCGCACAGCCCAGGGCCGAAGCTCCTCCTGACCATGTCGCCAGCTCCATCCACGCAAAGACATGGAAGAACGGCTCGAAGCCTGATCAATTCTCACGGGGATCCGCCGAGGCCGCCCGGCATCACTTCGCGGCGCTGCTGTCACCTCGGCCTGGCACGAGGAAATGCTCGAAGCAACGCTTCGGACCAGGTCTTTGAGTCTTTGACCGGAGCCAGTCTCCTGGTGGGAGGGCGAAACCTGGGCAAATCGGCAATGCGACTGGACCAAAAGCTGCGAGGCCGGCAGAATCTTGACGCTCCGCTTCGACAGTTCGCGCGCAAACCTTGGCCCATTGGCTTGCTTGCTAGACACAAAGCGATAAGCAAAGGAGACTGAGCACAAGACTGCTCAGGTCTCCATTCGCCGTTGACTGCCATCACAACGCAACCGGGAAGCAGAGGGGTCTCTGTCCTAAAGACTTCAGACGTGTCTAGAACCAGCTATCCTGAGACCAACTTCGCAAGGTCCGCACTGCCGATTCCATCGGTCTACCAAATGGTCTTGCACCACCTGAGCACATGATACATCCACTTTGTCACCTTGACATGAGATGCCTCCTTGACGATGGTCCTTGACATGCAGTCTGGCTCCAGCAGAATTCCTTTCCTGAGAGAATGGGGACTCACAGGACTCTCACTCGCAGGGAGCCGGACCCAGGTGACTCCAGACAGCGCCTTGGACGATGGACGACCACCAAAACCCCATGCATTCTGACAAAGGTCCAGGCCCAACGCGAATCCCCAGCTTCTCACCCTCTCTCTTCGAGAGTCGACACAGCACCTGGTAAAGTGCCAGTGCGCGATCAGACTCTCACAAGCCGCACCTGTGGAGGAGAAGACTGGATAGCTCCGGGGGGCAGCAACACGCCTCTGGCGATTAGAAAGCCTGGGCAAGCAGGGCACACCAATTGCGGCCATGCATGTTAAATAACGTTAAGACCCGGGCAAACGGAGGTTCGGGTCTCGTCTGCACACAACTGCAGCATCGCGTCAGCGCCTTTCAGTGCCCCGGCGCATAAATGTCACCAAGGAATTGGAAGCAGAGCTAAGTCCCAACCAACACATTGGTCAGCTGCCACGACCCGGTCGCCCGGCTGAAACGCGTGATCGGGGTTCTCCTGATGCCGTGGAGCTGCATTTCCAATTTTTGCATGTCCAGAGCTCCTCATTCCATCTGGCAGCCACGCCGACGCTCGGGATGTCTCTAACCTGGCAATTAAGGCAAGAAGCGAAACAGACAATTGCACCAAGGCCTGCAAGCTGTCGCTGCTGTCTTTGGCGTTGGTAAGATTGAGGCCCCACCTGGCCGCACCAAAACCTATCCTTGTGCTGCGAGCGCAAGCTGCCTCTCGCTGCCGGAGCTCCGAGAGAGCCGTATCTCGCCCAGCCAGGGTAGCACTGAGGCCTCAGCTCGGATCCACCCAAAGGAAATGGTTGTGGTTGTCAAAACCAATGGGATCCCATTTTGGGGTAGGTGAATCCACCACCCATTTTAGGACCTATTTTTGTGGGGATTGGGATGTTCACTTGTTCACTGGTACGATTTGGATTTTGACCCATGGCCAAATGGAGCGTGGGGGCGCCCATCAGAGGCCCCAGCACCACCGACTAAAGGCCTTCGAAGCTGAAGCTTCAGCTCCAGCGACCGCAGGGCGCCCATCATCGCAGCACCCGATTGGCCGTTGACCTTCACTGGGAAGGTCGCAGAGACAGGTTGCTAACCCGGGTTTGAGCTCCAGGCTGACTCAAGAATGTCGCTTTCGCGCAGCACCGGCCTGCAATGGCCATGCCCCAACGAAAATGGAAATGCTGACAGCTCAGCAGCTGGCAGATGCCACCAGCACATTTCTGGAGAAGCGACACTGCTTCTACCAGAGTCATCGTCAAGCACCTGATTCCAGCCAGCTGCAAAGCAAGGGCAATGATTTTGGGCCAGCCTTCTGATTGTGGCTGTGAATTGCCCCGTCATTGCTCAGGCTGCAGATCTGCAGCCTTTGCAGCACTCCATCAATCCCCAGACTGCTTGCAATCAACCCTTAAGGAATCTGTAGGTGGTTGGTGTCCTCTTGCGTTCCTCTTAAAACCATCCAAACAGGGACCACTGTTTTGAGAAGCACCCGAAATCTGCTTGCCATTACTTGCTGCTTTCCAGCCAATGATGGCATGAGTGCATCTAGGACAGGCACATACTCTCATTTCGCACGGCCGCAAGTTGCGCTCCCAGTGACCGAGTTTCGTGGTCCTCGAAGCTTCAGCCGGCCAGGTGCAACTTGAAAAAGAAAAAAGAAAAAAACGCGGCCTTGTGGACTTCGACTTCTAGAACTGCTTCGCTGTGCTGCAAGCTGAAGACGACCTGCAAGCTGGGCGGTCTGAGACTCGGAGGCCAGGAGCTATGGAGCGAAGCCCATCCTGTCCGAGGAAACTGTCAGGGTCGAGCAGGTCAGCTCGAAAACAGACCTCGGGCTGGTTCGAAGTTCGCTCTCATTTCAGAAGAGACAAACAAGTCTTGTCAGTCCCCCATCTGCTCCTTGAGCTGTTGGCTGATTTCGCCCACATCATGCCAAACAGGAGTGGCAAGCAAACCTTGGCATTCGAGAAACCTGAATCACAAAGCGTGGCGTACCTGAGGAGCTGACGGAAAAACCTATGAAGGTCATGCTTACCAGCCTGACAACGCTCCTGCCAAAAGCGCAATACCAGCGTGCCATTGCTGACTCATTGCTGCCTGCGCTCATCATACGCTCTTCTTGTTGCGGGGTTGGAGAGGACATTATAGGCAGCATTGAGTTTTGCTCGGCTACCTTGTGCCGCATCTGCCTGCGAGAGCATGCAGGCACGCTCATCCCTAGGCACTGTGAAAAGTATTGACAAATTGAAATCCAACATATCCTCGGACAAATCCTCCTGCCTGCTGCTTTGACGTCAATTTATTGGTCGCCTGGGACGGAATCGGAAGTAACACTTCGCAGGATGAATGAGAAGGTGGAGAGGAGAAAGGCATGAAGGGACGAGAGAATGAGACAGAGATAGAGCGAGAGACTCTCTTCTCACAAACTACCTGTCATTCAAGCTGTTTCGCCGAGGCACAGAATAGAGTTAACCGGTGGAGAATGGATATCAAAATGAAACAAGGGAAAAGCAAATAACCAATACACAAAAAGTGGAAAATGACAAGATACCAACAAAAACGTGGGAAACCAACAAGGGAAAGAGATAAATAATAGTTAAAAAGGAAAAATAAACTGGCAGAAAAAAAACACTAGATAGCATAACATTGTCATGATGTGCTCTATATGTGCATCTCTTTGCTAAGAACAGACCACCTCCACTACTAGCTTTCTAACTATTCTTGTCTTGATATTATGCCAGCTCCTAGAGATTACCAGAGAAAACCAGGCAAAGTCCCTACCAAGGCTGAACATAGCTCAGGAACAGCGCAAACGCAGCGCTTGTTGTGGGGCTGCGAACTTGACTCTATCGGAATGCGGCTACATACCAGTCAAAAGGATGTTGCGTTCTTGGGAGTGGGCGACGTGGGTGATGAATGCAGGGGATGCTGGAGATGATGCTGGTGATTGCAAAAATGCTGATGATAGAGTGTGATGCTGAGGACATTAGTGCAGTTCTGGACACCTACAACTGGAAATGCACAACAACTGGTATACCAGGAGCATAGTGCGTGGCAAACTCGTCTTTCTTGCATACCGCATCCACACACTTGAGCCGATCGCCCTCTTGAACGCCGTCATGATCTCCGCTTGTGTTGCTTCCGCAGCAATGCCAAGCATAGAGTAGTGGTCCTAGGCAAGGTAGTGCGAATTCCCCTCATCATGCTTGTCTAAAGAGTCTAAAGTCTATGTTGAATTGATAGCCCTCCCTATCGATCGACAGCTATCAAGGTGCCTCCACAATCTGCGTCTGAATGGTCCCTGCCACATCCTCAGTGCATCCAAACCGTGGGGTCAAAGGATTCGCGGGGGATTTGCGGAAGCCGAAGAATCCTTAACTGCTAAGGGGGGGGGTCAGCAATTAGGCTTTTCTTTTCGCAGGTATGGGTCAACGTCTTGCTGCGAGCGGCTTTCAATTGTGTGACCTCATGGAGGACGGCCATCGCAACCACCTGGCTTCAGTTGCGAGAACCAGCCAAGCCCATGCCCAAGCATCACTTTGTTACGTTTCATTATCTGAGGCTTGCACACATATTCCAAAGCCTGCAAGGACCTGTGGGGATCAATGAGTCTGGCTGAGTCAGTGCCAGCAGAAACCGCCTGTCTCTCCAGACGATCAAGCCACACCATGGCTCGATTGCAAGTTCGGAGTGCCAAGGACTGCAGGTTGCTACAATTGTACCTGTTTCTGGTGCGAATGCATGCCAGTCTTCAACTCAGGGGCCCTACACAAAGGGACAATCGAAGAAGCGCGTGCACCTGGACAATTTCACCTTCGACTAGCAAACAAGCTTGGGCCACAAGTTCTGGTGAAGCTTGAGCTTGCCAGTGACGTTCAATTTTTCAAGGCAAGCCAGTAAACACAATGTTTTTCATTGCACTCTGCACTCCTCGTCCTCTTCGATATCAAAATCATTTGGAGAGCTGCTTGCACCAGTCTCTGCTTTAGGCAATGTGCCGTTGCCAGCTGGTACAGGAGCCTTGCCAAACCAAGTGTTTCCAGAGCTCGGCACCAGTTCTGCCTTGTACGAAGCCGCTTCCCACTTTGTTACAAAGCGGGCATGGCCGCTCCACTGCACCCGATGCCAAGCAACCTTACAGCTGCGCAGCAAAACTGCCAGCCGCGGTGAGCTCTGCACCTGAGCAAATCCGACCTGGGTTTTTCTCAAAAAGGGGCCAATAAAACAAGTGGTCCTTTTGTTTTCCCTTTTAAAACAAGGACCCCCAAGAAACACGCTTCCAAAAGCATCCAAAAGCATCGGCAGCGATCTTCTGTGCGCTCCCGGCCTCGTCCCTCACAAACGCTCGAATGCGGGGCAGGGTGCAGCTCCGTAGATATTCCGCCTCAAGGGTTTCTATTGCAGAGCCTTGCGTCCATAAAAAAACTTGTCGAAGTGTTTCAACGGGAAGCTCCCCATATGTCCCTGCCAAAGGAAACCTATCATGGGCCCAAAATGCGCGAAGCGATGGGGACACTTCAAGTGCATAGCTCTCTTTCCGAACGGAATGGTCCGCTCGGCCTGGCGCTTGCGCCCGGTGAACTCAAAGGTCCGCTCCTCGATGGGAACCCAGTCTTGGCTCAGAGCCTCCCAGAGGTTACGAGGCGCTTCCTCCAGCTGCAGAGCTAAACTTTCGCAGTGCCCACGGAACCTGAGCCACGAACTAGGCAAGAGGGCAAAAACACTGGTCTTCCATTCATCTGATCAAATGCGCTCAAATGAATGGCTCGCTGAGGCAGCCACTCCCTCTCGGTTAACTCTGATAGCACGTGCTCGAAGGCGTGATCCAAAAACTTGTCAATGCTTCTGAGGGCCACTTCTGGTGCTCGTTCCGTCTGCACCAAGAAAACCAGTGAAATGTGGGTGACTCGGGCTCGCATGAAGCTGGATACCACATAGCCTAGCTGCTGCCGAGTTCTTAGCTCGTTGAAGAACATGGACTTCCAAATGGCCATGAGAACTGCGGCCATGGCCTCATTCTCCGGCGTCGAGGTGGCCACATTGCACAGGCTCTCCACCGCGCAGCTGTTCGCGTCCTCCGCATTTTGGCTATCCATCAGCAGGACGGTCAGGGGGGCACCTCTCGGCAGAAGCAGCTCTGCCCGCGCAGGCACCCGTCCGGGCCCGGGCCCGGGTGCTTCGCGCAGCTGGCGCAGCGGGTCGAGCAGCCCGTTCAGCAGCTGCAGCGCCTCCGAGCCGTGCAAGTTCCCTGTCATCAAGCCTTCCAGGAGGCAGCTTCCACCCAACTTCAGCGGCAGCTGCTTCAGGTCCCGCTCTTCCAAACCGGACGTGGCCTCACAGCACGACACCCAAAAAACGATGTTTACACTTCTAACGAGGCGCGCCTGCAGCAGCTCCTCGTTCCCGGGGCGTTGCAACAGCAGCTCCTCCAAAGCATTTAGCGCCTCAAGCAGCTTTCGCAAACAAATGCGACAGCAAAACTTCAAGCGAGTAAAAACGACTTGCCACTTTGGGTTCCGCAAACTCTCCAAGGTGACCCCTAAAAAGGCTGCTGTTCCTTTTTGTTCCGTGTAACCAGCCAAATGGCGACACACTCTCACCGCCTGGTTGTAGGCAGGCCCTTTGCTCGCATTCTTCAGCCACCGCTCCTGCCAAACGGTGACCGCGAGGGATGCCATGGGAGTTCTCAATTTGACCGCCTGAAGCCCGAACAATGATCACCAGCCAATCAAGTGATCGCGGGCATGTTTCACAAATGTAACACAACTATCATCCACCAAACTAGTGAACCACAGAAACCAATGATCATCCACGCAAACAACAATAATCGCCCACAAAAATACCAGTGTCTTCCAAAAAAACAACAATAACCTCGAAAAAAAAAGCAGTGCTCATCCACAATAACCATTGATCATCCACGAAAACAAATGATAATCCACGCAAACACCGATCATGCACAACAAAGTGTCTTACATAGACCCAATGAGCATCCATTGAAATGAGAAAGACCAAATGCAGGATTTGGTCCCTTTCAAACCCATCCTGCTGCTCTTTCAAGCTTTTCCAGCTCGATGTTTCCAACTCAGCGAATAGGCTTCTGGCAACCAAACTGGCAAGCTTCCCCAGCGTGTCTCTAAAGCCAAGAAGTTGCAAGAGAATACCCCCATGGACAACCTCCAGCTTGTACATTGCGCCCGCCTTTCTCGCATGACATGCTTCCGCCCTCAGCTTCTGCTGGACTGCCTTGCAAAGCATGTGCGCAAGCGCAATCTGCTTTGCAGCCAGCATCTGGCCTGAGTAAAAACAGAAAGAGGCTGCTGCTTTGGGTTGATTCATCCCATTACTTTGCTTCAACCAGGCTCGACACCAATCCTCAGCATAGGCCAATTCGATCGGAGTCGGATGTGTTGCTACGCGTCGCATTGAAAAGTCTGACGGAATAAAGCTATTTCGCATTTGCAGCTGCAAGCCATATTTCTCAGCGAGGCTCTTCCACTCGCCCGCTTCCACATTAATCCATCGAGCTTTCCAGCTGCTTTCAATCGAATCAGATTTCAGAAATCGCCCGCCATACCATGGTTCTGTAGAAATGCACATATCCTCAAACGACTTTGACACCAAGCATAAGCGAGCACTGTGCACCTTCAAAAGCTGGAGAATAGTTTTGGAAGCAAACATGTCTTGCTCATAGATCAAATGATCTGCTGCCAGCACCTCTTCAGATGGATAGTAATGCAGGTTACAAGCAATGTCTTGAACAAAGTCGTAAGGAGCAGAATCATACTGGTAGTGGAAGCTCAATTCCTGCAACTGGCTGTGCTCATCAAGTATCTCTTTGCTGACATCCAAAGAGCAAAGCATAGAAATGTACGCAAATGCAAGCTCGCCAGCACGCATGATTGCGTCATGGCTCATGTCCACCATGTCAATGACGAGCTCGAAGGTGGATGCACAACCATGGTAGTCAAAGCAAGAAACCGAAATATTATGCGACAAACCTGCCGAGACGAGAGCTGCTAGCAAACTGCCAGGGCCTTCCTGGCCAATCAAATATGATGCATATGCGGTGGGTTTCGACTTCCACTGAGCAACTTGCCACGGAAGCAACCAGGACAACTTGCACTGGTGCAAGTCCTTCACTGGCACGATGAACAGCTGGCCACCTTGCATGGAAAAGCACGGCCCGAGCAAAAGCAAGCCTTTGATACCACACAAACAACCAATCCCAACCAATTAAGGGTTGCCGCATGCAGGCAGGTGGCAGAAGTCCTCTTTCAAAAAGGGCGGCCCTCCCTGTGCAAGCTCGTCGCCCAAAAGCGTTGAGGGCTTCACGGGCCGGCTGGAAGCTTTCACGGAGGCGAAGAACTTCCGCACCCAGGCGGCCAGCTCCATGGTGGGCTGGGGGCCAAGCACCGCCAGGGACATGCGATCAGCCGTGTAGCAGGCGCCGTGAAATCTCGCCAGGGCCTCGTGCAGGTCGCAACTCGAGAGGGACTTGCTGCAACCTGAAGTCCAATGATAGGGATGCTGAGGGTTGGCGTCCAAAAGAAGTATGGCCCACTGCCGTCGGAAATCGTTCGGCACATTCATGCTGTGCTCAGCATCAATGGCTTGCAGCTCTTGATGGTGATGCGCACGGGAAAAGATAGGGCAGTTGAAGAAGCGCGAGAAGCGGCTGAGGGCTCCTTCCAACTTTTCAGACTGGACTTCAAATGCATAGCAGGTCTGAAGTACAGTGGTAACTGCATTGTGACGCCCTCCCTGCTTGACATACTCCGCAAAATTCGTGTCGCCAAAGGGTTGTACCGTTCCATGCAGGAGCATGTGCTCACAGAAATGTGCCAGTCCTGGGATCTGCTTCGGCTCGTGGATGCTTCCTGCCAGCACAGCTAAGGCAACAGCTGCTGGGCTGGACTTGTCAGGGTCGCTTCCCACGACCACCCGTAGACCGTTCTCAAGCTTGAAATACATATATGTGCGCCCATCAGTCTTAGGCTGGCGGATGCGGGACATCTGCTAGGCTCGGCAGGCTTTGCACACTGAAAGGGCAAGACCCAACAACAAGATGAGCGAGGTCAAACTAGAAGTGGGGGGTCGAAACAATTTCATAGGACCGCAGGCTTGCGGCGATGCACGATGCCTCTCTCCCTCGGGTTGTTTGGCCTTATAGCATGCCCAAATAACAAACAGGTCCTGTCACATCCCTTGTTTGTTTCTCACAACGGACCAGAAAAATCATACCCAATGATACCCTCCTGCACCTTGAAGCCTGTCCTCTTCAACGTGGGATTTACATGGGATGCCATCACAGAAGCCACCAAAAGAGATGACTTCCCTCCAAACGGGAAAAGATACCCATGATCAGGAATATTGATGAACCCCCACGTAGGCTTGCAACTGCGCGCACTTTTCGCAGCCTGATCAGCCTGCTGAATCCATCAGCTTCCACTTCCGTTAGATCACAATCGCCAAAGCAGGGACTCTGTCGCGCAACTTCCAAGTCTCATTCATGTAAATCTCCTCTGAGTGCGAGGGTTCTGCTGCATTTCTCAGAGTCATAATGTGGTGTCGCAGGCGCTTTGTCTGTGTTCTTGGTCATGATAAACATCTGCTTGATACCGGCAGTCTCTAGTCAGGCTGTACATCTTGTCTTTTCGCAACCTGTTGAGAAGTCAAACGTGATGGTAATTTCCTCTAGGGCTCGCTCGTAGGGCTCGTAGGGCTCGTAAGGCTCGTAGGGCTCGTAGGGCTCGCAGGGCTCGCAAGGCTCGTGGAAGCTGTTGGAGGTCGTTCTATCCTTTGTGTCACAATGGTGATTGCTGGTGGTGGTCCTGGACGTTGCCCCATAGTAACTACTGGTGGTGGTCCTCGAGGTGGTTCGACTCCTTGGGATGCATTGCCGTTGCTGATACCTCCTCCTGGTTCTACTCTTTGTGTCCGCATGGTAACTGCTGGAGGTGGTCCTGGAGGTGGTTCCACTCGTGATGCAATGCTGCTGCCTGCCGCCGGTTCCACTCGTGTCCCCATGGGGATTGTTGGACGTGGGGCTGTAAGTGTTCTTGCAGATCCTCTAGCATGCATTTCAGCTTCCATCAGCCCAGCCACGGTGGAGATATCAATGCCGTCTGTGTCATCCTCGTGTTCTTCCTTTTCTCCATAGTCCAAGAGGAGATCCGGCTGCAAATAGCCTTTGCCATGTAGCCACACTACTTGCTGATGCATGCGCAGGCTAGGATCTGCCGGTGGAGCCTCAACCCCATGCAGGATCCGCAGAACGTGGCCAGGGTTTACATTGAACCAATTGAATGGGTACATGCGTTCAACCTGCTCGTAGGGCAAGCCATCATACCACACCCGCTCTAATGCACTTCTCGCAGAGGCTGACTCAATGATGTGATCACAAGCCCAAAGGAATGGGACAGCGCACAAGCTCACCGCAAGCACGAAAAGAAAGGGCTGCCCTGCTCGGAAGCCCCAGTGGCAGGCGCATCCTCCCAGAACTCCGGTGGAAACTGTGAGCAGCTTCATTGCTGTGGTGTCCAGATTCCTGGAGGTGTAGTAGGTTTCCTTGCTGAGGGCAATGTAAATGTATTTGTTCACGAAATAGATGCAACAAGCCCAAACAATATCCCAAGAAAAAACCTTCCATGTCTCTGCTCCAAAAACGAAGAGACACATAAAGGATGTGCCCTTCAGCACCACAATTCCAGCATAGTCATACTGCATGTACCATTCGGGTGGCTCTGCTGCACGCTCGGCCAGCCACTTGGCTCGTTGGAAGGTGAGATCAGGACTTCGAGTGAGGTGCAAGTATAGCACCTGCACAAGGCCCCGCACCCAGCAGAAAGGGTAGAACAGTGGCCAAGCTGCATAGGAGATGAAGGAGCCCCGCAAAAAGGCTACAAGTCGTACTGAGAGGGCCGACTCGTACTGAATCGCTGCAACAGCATCATCAGGCATTTTCCCTGATGACCAACATATAACAACAAAATTGAAGCACATGTTGGTATAGACAACAATTGTATACCAAGTCAGGACGAAGGCATCGCTGTGCGCCTTCAGTCGAAAGCCGACCCTTTCAGAAGCAAACCACACTAGCTGGTTCAACAGAACATTACCCAACGCGCAGGATACTGTCACAATGATGGTCAGAACCTGCTCAGGGTGTTCCCTGTCGGCATACACTCGCTTGTACAGAAAGTAGTAGAAAAGTATCATCATCAGAAACGCCCCCACGATCAAGGCATTTGCGGCAATAAGGCGCTGCCGACGGAGACTGCAGGATAAGTCAATGCTCACACCGCTGAAAGAAAATTCACCATTGAAAGCCGTGTCAAACAATTGAGCAGAGAAGTTGAACCATTTCATTGATGGTGGTTCACATGATGCAGGCATCGACTTAATGCTGTGTTTCTCATCCCAAGGATGTCTATCCATGCACTTTTGCAACTTTTCCATAACTTCCAGCGATTCGCAAGGATAGCGACAAACAATGACCGCAGTCCCCGAATTCTCCAAGGATTCCAAGACTCGGACGACTTCGTCCTCATCCCCTTCGTCCTCATCGGCGAGCGCCAGGGCGGCAGAACGCTGTTGTGCCAGGGACTTTGGCATTGGCACCTCTGATCCTGATGTCTCGGACCCCGACTCCGAGCTATCCTGTGCTTCCAACCGCGCAGCCACATCCATCAAATGCTCCTCAACCAAATGTTGTATCAGTCGCTCGTGATTCTTGTAATCGTATCCAATGGAAACACCCACAAACTCGGGTTTGCTACACACCTCACCGTCCTCATCGAAATCATCCCAGCAAGAAACTGCAGCTTGCAAGTATGCAAGAATCTTGGACTGCGTTGCATCTGCTGGAAATCCAGATGCGAGAAATGCATAATCAGACATTTCAGCATGCAGTCGGTCAAACTCATCTCGTCGTGTTCCCTGCCGGTGCAAATGGTATAGAAAGAGCAAAAGTATTATCATATAAAGGCGCAGCAAAGCCAACCCCCGCTCTTGTGCCAAAGAACGCCAAATCTCATTTCCCTCTGATTTACTGATACGTCCCAAGCACCAGTCTGCAGTTACGAAAGCGTACACCTGCATGGACAATCCATAACCAATCCTGCACAGGATTGCTGTAACGAGGAAAAGAGCCATGGAATTTCGATACAGTGTCAGCCCAACTCCTGCTATGTTGACCATGTCAAGATTCAAACAGGCGATCTTGCCCATATCGCGGCAGCTGAATACGTCGGCTTGCCACCGACGAGATTTCCAGCTTCTGCTCTTCTCTGGGACAGATGCCAGGCAGTGCTTCTGATGCTGCAGCGCCCCTTGCAAAAGCCTGCTATATGAACTGCTATTCTGCCTTTCTCGCAAGTGCAGTGCCACCACCGCGATCAGCCCAATACACAAAACACCACAAGCACTCCCAGCCGCTGCAAATACACCAACCAGAAAGGATGCAGAAGTTGTCGGTGCGTGTGTGTCCGCTGTGGCGTTCCTCATGCAAGTGCTATTCCAAATCTCTTCGGTAGCCTCACAGGTTCCATCGCATTCACTGCGACTCAAAACCCAGCTAAGCAAGCATGCAAGAAATATGCCCGTCAAAAACCAGAGTGCTTGGACGCATCTCCCGCAGTCAAACCTATGCATCGGATCACGGCCGATCTTCCACGACACATCTGCAATAGGCGGCTCTCGAATTCTGCAGGTGTGCGAGAGTCATGCATCTACGTATAAAGATATTCAATATATTAAATGTGTGCATGTGTGCACCGACATGTATGCAGGGGTATTCTTGCATGATGCACAAGGCACAAGGCATGCTGCATCAACGTTCATAGAAAAAGCTGTTACACTGTTGCAGGCTGCAACCTCCTGCGGCAAGTTGTGCTCCGAGATGCCTGTTGCTCACTGGAAAATGGTTTTTGCCAAGCCTGTTGCAATTCGACGCTGAACGATCTCTGAAAGGCCTTATTTGAGCCCACATCGTCTGTCAAAACAAGTCTTGCAAAGAATGTGCCTTCACAAGTCTTGACCACATTGTTCTCGGATTGGCCACATTGCTTTGATGATTTGTGTTTGAGGCTTCTTTGGGGGGAAATTGAATGCTCTTGGTTGATTTTGGGTGGTGGGGACTCATTTGCATCAGGTTTCAGATGGCATGGGTTGTCACTGCTTCACTCGCCTAAAACCCAACCTTACCGAGACAAAGCATGGAAAAAGCCGTCGTGTGTGACAATGCTTGGAAGGAACAAGCAAAAACAAATTCCGACAACAACAAAAAACGAAGAAGCACAAAACGCACGAACGCACGCCGCTTTCCTGGAGCTTGGTCCGCAGCATCGGTCCAACCGCATCGGTCAGATCCCCGCCAGGAAGGTGGAAGGGAAAAGGAGGGAAATTGCTGAACACGAACCCGAAACAAAAAAATCAACAAAACACAGTCGAAAACCCTAAATGCTAGTTGTTTTTTGCCGGCCTACAGCACAATCACCGGTCGACAAAAAGGACGGCCAAAGAGTAGCCAAAATGTTTTGAGGAAGCAGCGGGCAGCAAACGAACTCCTGAAAAAAAGAGCCATCCGGAAAACCTGTGCCTGGCACACGTAGGCAAGCCGAAGAACAAGTAAACATGGAGGCGCTGAGGGATCTGGCCGACGACTTCAACGTGCGGGAGCCCCGGAAGCTGTACCGACTTGCGAGGCAGCGGGACCTCGACGTGACTTTCGAGGCGCTGAAGGCCGACGTGGGCCGGCAGGTGCAGGCGCCCTGACCACGTGCGTTGGGCAAGTCGGCTGCCGGGGCCGAACGACCGGCTGCCGACCTCATCGACTTCAGCCACAACACCCGGGGAAAGACCACGTACGGCCTGGTGGTCATGGACGTCTTCACCCGCGAAGCTGCCGTGGAACTTTGCAGAAAAAGAACGCAGAGACGGTCGGCCGGGCCACCAAGCGTGCCACGCAAGAGCTGACGGGGGACGACAAGAACTTTGTGGTCACGACAGACCTGGGCAACAAGTTTGCACGCTGGACCGGGAGCTGCCCGAAGCCGTGCACCGAACGAAGCGCCCCGAGGATCGCAACGCCACGGCCGTGGTTGACCGAGGCATCCAGACGCTGAAGAAGGACCTGGGCACGTCGTGTGGCCCGCAAGGGCGGGCAGTGGAGCGACCACTTCGAGCGAGACTTTTTTGCCCCTTAGCAGCGATCCGCGTCGAGCGCACGTCTGCATCAAGCAACTCTGTGTGACAAGGATGAAACGGCTACAAATCAAAAAAGGCACGGGCATCGCGAGAGGTGCGTGTGCCTCAAAAAGTGCCCAGGCTCGATCAGCACACAACAGGGAAACCACACGAAACAAGACAAGCAAGAAAACAGACAAACAGAAACACAGACAAAGACGAGCCGAAAAGTGAAGCCTGTACAAATCATGCAAAAAGGGAGTACCGCAAGCCGCGAATTATGAAAGAGTAGAATCATAGTGTAACCGAAATTCGAAGGAACAGTGCATCCCGAAAAGGCAGTCCACGTTGCCGTACCCCACGGCTGAATCCATGAACAGTATGGCCGACCATGGAAAAAGATAGATTTGATCATAGATGCGACCAAGACCTGCACATGGCAAGTCATAGACATACGCAGGGCAAAGCTCGATCCAAAGCATGCGGTAATACGGGCAGGTAGGCCAGGAACAAGCATGCACGGGCAATCCCCATGAATACATCATCCAGGGCATCCAAGAAATGCAGAAATTTCGAGCGCAATCAAACAATAAACTGAAAAAGGTGAGGGTTGTCACACCCCAAGGTCAGCCAGAAGGCAGTACACACTGCAAACGACCGGCCCAAAGGCGATGTGCCCTCCACCGACCGGCAACGCGCCGAAGCGAGAAGGCGGCCGCCGTGGGCAAAAGGTGAATTATGTCTCGGTATTGTACTGACAAGCAGCCCTCCCTGAAGGTGTGACAATGAAAAGCCCCTGTAGGCAAACCAGAGAAAAGTAAGCCAAGCCCGAAGTTCTGCAAAGAGAGGTGGGAGCACCGTCAAAGTGTCTGATGAATTCAACACCAAAAAAGCACACACACTGACATGACCGCGTCTCGGAGACCATCCATTGCATCCCGACTGGCTCATGGTTGCGCTCCACAAAGTTTTTGGCATTCCATTGCGGTCACTTGGTTGGACGGACCCCTCCTGGATGGAGGGGTAGGGGTAGTCCACGTGGCGCCATTGCCACCTGGCATCAAGGGAAAGGTGTAATCGCACGTGGCATCAGAAGGGATGCCAGGAAATCAACTCATGACAGAGAGGGTCCTTAGCCAGCAATCTCAGGGGCTGGCAGGACCAAGCTCGGACCACACTCAGCACAAGCATACCCCCACAACCATCCTTGTCCGTCAAGTTGCTTGACGGTCCCACCTCGGACCGAAATCAGCGCCAGCACGGAACTGAGACTGAAAATTCTCAGCGGACGAACAAAAAATGTGTTCAGTCCACGCTACTCCCTTACCAAACTCTCCTAGTCCCCGCGCTTGGCGCATAAGCAGAACAGAGTAAGGGGAACCAAGGTCCCCAAATGTCCTCAGCCTGCATGACCAAACGCTGGCAGGCCTGTGCGGACCGCACACAGCACAAATAACCCGTCTTGCGCTTGCGTGCAGACGGGGGAGTGGGGCAGGTGCCTAGAGCGTCACCGGTCTGGCTCACACCGGCCCCCATCAGCGAGGTAAGTGGGGCGCAGCAGCACGTCCGCGTAGCCGCCTGTTCCTACAACTGGCTCCTTCGGCAGCAGAGCTCCTCCACCACGGCGTCCAGCTCGTGCTGGTTGCGCAGCCTCCAGCAGCAGAGGAACTGCTGATTGACCCGCACGGCTGTGCTGATGAGCCTCAATCTGCAAGGTTGTCCAGGATTTCAGCACCTGGTACAGTTTCTTCATCTCCAACTTCTTGGACGCCTCCGTGATCTTGCGCTGCTGCTGGATGATGCGCCGCAGCGCCGGCTTGTCCCAGTCCTCCTAGTAGGCCTGGTCTTTCTCCACGTTCACCCCCAGGTCCTGCTCTATGTCTTCTTGACGGCCTGCACTGCTCCAGAATCAGGCTGATCAGATCTCTTTAGAGGGGGTTTCCCAAATGGATTCTATTCTACCTGACAGCTCCTAGCACTTGTCCGTCCAGGAAACGACCTCGTCCTGCGAAGGATTCGAAACCTAAAACGCTGCGCGGAGGCGTGCGGCTGCAAAATAACGACAGATATGCTTGCAATTTGGCTCCAGGTTGCATTTTAAGCGAGCCAACCTTTGCAGGGCAAAGGAGAAAAAAAAGAAAACAAGGGGTCCCTTATACCAGGTGCCCTTAAGCAGCTTGAGTCTCTCAACAATACTTGACAAGGGAACCTTGAGCGCAAGCACTCCTTTTCAGCACACGGGGAAGAGCATCAAGGTAAGGAAAGGTCCTTCTTAGAAAGGGGGGGACCCCAAAAGGGAGAAAAGGGTTCGCACCCTGTTTGAAGGGGGTCCCCCAAGAAGGCCTCAGGGGGTGAGGGCAGGCAAGTACCCCCACCCGAACCCAATCTGAAAGGCAAGCCACAGGGTGTGGCTCGCGTAGCCAATAAGC